CTCTACTTTATATGCAGGTTGCTACCACAGAGTGGCTGACGAGTGGTGTAGGACCGCACCTGGGATCTGAACCTGGGAACTTGGGCCACCGTAGCGCAAGGTGCTGAACTTAATCACTACACCATGGGGCTGGCCCCTGGACTGCTATTTAGATGATTCCAAAAGAAAATATTAGGTCCTGGACTTACAGGATGAAAACATTTTTATTTATGAAATGATAGCATGGATGTGACAAGGGGAACACAGTTGGAAGTCCCTTGGCCTTCCCTGTTTCCATCTGAGCCCACCAGCCTTTGGTGCTGGCTGAGGGTCATCCATGCATGAGGCAGGGGCATCTTAGAGCCAGGTATCAGGGTCAAGGCTGAGACATGGAGTCCTTGGTTAGGGTCCCTGGACCTCGATCAGCATGTTCTGCCCGGCATTGGCTTCAGAGAGCTTCTGCTGCTTGTGAAGAGAGATCAGCCCAGGCCTCCACCCTCAGTCACTCTGCCCGCCCAACTCTCTGGATTTGGACACTTGCTTGGGCTCTGGCAAGCTTCTTTTCTATCTGCATTGGTTGTAACTTGGGTAGGACCCCACATTGGAGCACTCTGGAGCGTCAGCTGCCCAGGCCAGAGGAGGGGAGAGGAATCTGGGCAGGCAGCTAGAGGGCAGGTGGAACCAGCCTAGCTCAATGTCTGCCCCCTGCAGCGTCCGAATCACCAAAGAGTATGGCGAACTCAGACTCGTATGTTGGCCGGCATTGGTGCCATGGAAGAACTGCTTGGGGGGTAATGCACAGGAGGAGAAGTTTCTAAGCAGTGGGAATGCTCTGAAGTGCTGTAGCAGCCAGTGCTACACCAGCCACCGGGAGAGCCAGGCCAAGCAGCAGGGTCCCGATGAGCAAGGCCAGGCATCCTCACCCAGGTGGAACCCATGGGGTTCTGGGAAGGAGCTGTGGCTGCGCCTCGTTGGCCCCGCAGGTTCCTAAGCCCTTGCCCCTGCCAACCTGGCCCCAGGCTTAGGAGAGCAGGTCTCACTCCAGCCCCTCCTGATCTGGCTGCCTCATCAGAGTTGGTCAGGGGCTGTTTCGTGCTGAGCTCCCAGGTCCTCCGTGCCTGCTACTGTGAGGTCCTGGGGAAAGGGTGCCTCTGACTTCACATGGGGAAAGAGGGGTGCCTGGAGGGGAATCTGCCTCAACTCCCTGAAGGCAGGGCTAGCAGGATTTTATGAGTCCCTACTCACAGAATATGACAGAACGTTCTCTTAATGCCAAGTTCCTATAGCTGTCACTTCCTAGGAAGGTGGTAGTGTGACCCTACGGGGTGGTTCCTGGGATACAGAGGGCACATGAGGGTCTGCAGTGGCCTCTCCACACCCCCAAGCCCTCCTTGGTCCACGCTCCATGTGGTCACATTCTCTCTATCTCCTTGCGGACTCTGACCCCTAAGTGCCTCAGTCACCTGACACAGTCCGAGTGGTCACTTCCTGAGAATTGCAGAGACTTCCCTTTATCTATGTGCTTTTCCCAGGGATCTGAACCCTAGTGATTACTAGTTATCTAGTGATAACCAGAATCAGATCTGGGGTTGAAAGCGGTAGCTAGCCAACAGGCCCCAGTTCCTGACCTGTATGTACTGACATAAAATCCTCCCTTCCCCAAGTCACCAAAACACCCCAAGTGTTTTGAAAAGCCTGTCAAATTTTCTAAGAAAAATTAAATATGATATAATATTAAAATCCAATTGCTATTTTAAAAACTCCAATTGCTGTCTAAACACATTTCACCTAAATATACATTTGTTAAATAGGCCAACGGTGAGTTGGCCCAGCATTTGTAAAGGTGTCTGATATACAGGGTTCTTCTTGGAATATGAGTTCGTTATGACTTCAAAAGCAAAACAGCATGAGTTTGCACACTTTACTGGGGCATTGATGAATCTCAGCAGAAGAGAGGTGGGATTGATTGATATTATTAACTTGGGATTCTGTCTTTACCGCCTTCAATGTAGTGCTTCTTTCTCAAGGTTTGGGAGTTTCCCTTCAGATCTAGTTTAAGTGTTCTTATCATAAAAGATTTCGTCAAATGCTTTTTTCTGCATCTATTGAGATGGTCGTGTGGTTTTTGTGAAAACTGTAAATTTGAGTTAAATTGGCTTCAACTAAGGGGAAATATGACTTTTTGGAAAATACATTGAGTCGATAAGATTCAGCAGTATAGTACCTGAATTGAAGGCACTAGTTTTGGCTGCAGCAAAACTCAGCTTGTGCAACTATTTTGTTACCTCAGGGCTTATGGGTTGTGAGAAGTTGCGGTGAGGGTACCATCTTTCTTGCCTTGGAGCTCTCTCCCTCACTGCTTTGCCCTGGAGACAAATAGGAAGTTCTGAGAGTAAAGAGTTGAGGGCCAGGCAGAATCTTCCCGCATTCTCATCACTTGTACTCTCCTCCTCTGAGCTTCTCTCAGCATCCAAAGGGCTTTGGCCCTGCTGGTGGCAAGGAATTCCTTTACTTCAAGTCCCCCATCCTTTCTCATTCTGCCTCCTAGGAGCTCTAGGTTCCGACTCTCAAGCTGTTGGAAATTAGAAGATTTCCTTCTCTGTTAACAAAGGCTAGCTTATTATCTCACTAGGGACTTAATATAAGAATCTAGTTTGAAGCTCCAGGCTCATCAAGGACTTTTTGGTGTTCACCGCCACCCACCCCAAACCCCTGTAATGATGGCTTCTGATTCAGTGGGTGGGGAATGTAGAGTAACATCATTTCCAAGCAAGGAAAACTACCTCTCCTCTCAAAACTATCATTCCCCAGTCACTTGATTATGGTAAGTTGCATAATCGGTACCCAGTGCTCCTGCCTAAATATGATAGGCTTACTGTTAATGTCCAACAACCTGAGTCCTTTCTAGGATCAGTAGTAAGATACTTAGGTTGTACTAGCAAACCCCGGTGCAGAGGTTCTCATCCTTCGCTGCACTTTGAAGTCTCCCTGGAAGCTTTAAAGAAACACTGATGCCTGGGACCCACCGCAAGGCTCTGATTTAATTGGGTTGGGGTTTGGCCTAGGGTTTTTTCTTTTTCTAAGTTCCCCCAGGTGATTGTAATGTGCAGACAACGTAGAGACCTCTGTACTAGCTATTAGCTAAGAAATCACTAACTTGGGTTTAGACGTCACATGCCAAGTTGCAGATCCTTAAATGGACATTAGTTTATTTGATTATGACTGCTATTTCAAATAGTGTTAGCAGTTTGAGTGTTAATTTTTTTTTTTTTTTTTTGGTGAGGAAGATCAGCCCTGAGCTAACATCCATGCCAATTCTCTTTTTTTTTTCTAAGAAAGACTGGCCCTGAGCTAACATCCATGCCCGTCTTCCTCCACTTATGTGGGACGCCGCCACAGCATGGCCTGACAAGTGGTGCGTTGGTGCGCGCAGGATCCGAACCCCGGGCCACCAGCAGCACATCGCACGCACTTAACCACTACGCCACGGGGCCAGCCCCGTGTTAATTTTTTTAACATGGATTTTTTTCAACTTTGCTGCATTTTCAGTTATGATCTTATTACTTTCACAGCATCTACTTGTGTATAATGATAGTGCATGACTCACTTGAGAGAAATTTTCATTGGAGAAAAATTTCCTGCATTCAGGCGGTGGCTACACATTGGAATCCTCTAGTGCAGTGGTCCTCCAACTTGGCTGCACATTAGAATCACCTGGGGAGCTTTTAGAACTCCCGGAGCCTAGGCCTTACCCCAGACCAATGACATCAAACTTTCTGCGGCTGGAGCTTTAGTGTCAGCATATTTGAAAGCTCCCCAGGACATTTCAGTATGCCCCCAAGTTTGAGTCAACCTAGAGCAGTGGTTCTGAAACTTTCATGTGATAAGCATCCCCTGGGGATTTGTTAATGTGCAGCTTCTGATTCAGTGGGACTGGGGTGGGGCCCCAGATTCTGCATTTCTAACAAGCTCCCATGTGGTAGATGCTCCCATGAGAGATGGGAGATTCTCACATGAAAACAGATGAGAGACCAATGGTGCTGCTCTGCAGCACCACCTCACTTGAATGGCAAGGACAAAGAGAGCTAAAAAAAAAATATATATATATATACACTGAGCCTGGGCCCTGTTACCAGTGAATTTAGTTTGATTGCACTGGATCGGGTCCAGAATTTGACAATTTAAAAAGCTTCCTACGTGATGGTTACATTGAATCCCGGGTGGAGAACCCCTGCAGCATTAGGGACTTGCTATGCTTCTAGTTATAGAAATGGTTAATAAATGACATCAGGTGGAGGAGGAAAGGGAGAAGACCAAAACAAGGCCAGGAGGGCACCCCCTCCTCCAGCCAGAAGAACCCCTGGACCTGCCAAGGGATATCTTATCTAAAAAAGGTCCCTCTGTAGAGAGAACTTACCATAAGGCTACCAGATTTTTTTCAACTCATCTTAAGCCCCTGTTTTGCATATTGTTTGAATACATTTACATGTTGACTATCAAGAGGCCCTAACTCCAAATATGTAAGATACAATAAAATAAGTTAGATCTTGTCACCTTCTGCAGTTGTATTCATATGCAGTAGTCAGTGCTGAACACAACTCAAGTGGGGAACAGATTTTCAAACAGCCGGAGATGGGAGAAGGAGAGGACACGCCGGCAGTACAGGAAGGAGGGAGGAGGGAGTCTTGGGGAAGCCACAACGGGCTCCTGCCACCTGCCCAGTGACAGCCGCTCCCAGACCTCAGAATCGACAACGGAACCTGAAGCCCGAACCCCCTCTACACTGTTCTTTTTATTATTTCAAACGGTTTTGCCGCCTTTGACCCCTTTTGCCCCCAAGCTTCATTATGTACAGGACTTTAGCCTTCCTGAGCTGCTTGCAGGCCATTCTTCTGGGTGTTGCTCCCTGGGCCTCTGGCCTGGCCTGTTTCTTTTGTGCCACCCCCGCAGAGTGCTCAGCGCAGTGTGGGTCTGGGCCACTGCATACAGTTGTGTGGCGTGTGCCCTACTCAGGGACACGCATGGGGGCTGAGCTTCAGCTCGCCTCCACTCACCAAAGCGTGCTGCCTCAGGAGCGCAAGGTGCCTTTTTGCCCGTCCACCTGCTGGAAGGCACGAGGGGGCACCTTTTTCTAATTTTCACAAAGGTACCTACCAGGTGTGCTGGTGGAGGCCTGGTGCAGGTCACCCAGTGGGTGCTTACTGTGCTCACTGAATGAATGAGTGAACAAAAGAACAAAGTAGAGGCAGTGAGGATAAATATGAGGCTTCCGTAGTCATCAAGGTAAAGGTTAATGAGGCCCTAAACTAGGATGTAAACTGTGTTGATGGAAAGGAGGGGATAAACAGAAGAAGCAACAGGCCATGGGTTGGGTTAAAGCTTCCAGGATGGTGAAGGAGAGAGGGAATAAAAATGACCTCCTACCTGTAATCACCACTAAAACTTGACTCTTGTGCTAGAAGAATAAGCACAGCGTGGTCACAGATCAGTCCTACACCTCCACTTCTCGAGAGCTGGCTTTGGTTAGGTAACAAGGTGACAGGAATTGTGGACCTCTTATGTGCGAGGCCCCGTGCTAAGCAGTGTTGGAGAGATGCAAGACCACCCCTCCCTCGGAGGGCTTATGATCTAGTTGAGGGGGCTGGGCACAAGATTCCTGGTGTAGGGCTGTGCCCACCAGCATCACACATGGGTGACAAGTGTCAGATAATCATAGTGGCTGTGTGTGCATGCTGCTTCACTGCTTGTCGTGAGCTCTCCCTATATGAGGTAGCTATTATGTTGCTTCTCTCTGAAGAGGAAATTGACATTTCTTGCTTGCTTCTCATCCATCTTCTGACTGCCAGTCACCATATTGGGTTGAACTATATAAAATTACCATTTTTGTAGGTCAAAAATGGTCCAATATCAGCAATTTCATATAGTTCATCCTAACACTTCCCACTATATTATGCTGCCATTTGAGACCTTTTGAATGATTTTATTGATTTGTCTTAAGGCAATTATAAAAAGAGCTTAAAAAAAAAAAGAGTGAGGGGCCGGCCCGGTGGCGCAAGCGGTTAAGTGCGCGGGCTCTGCTGTGGCGGCCCGGGGTTCGCCGGTTCGGATCCCGGGCGCACACCGACGCACCGCTTGTCAAGCCATGCTGTGGCAGCGTCCCATATAAAGTAGAGAAAGATGGGCATGGATGTTAGCCCAGGGCCAGTCTTCCTCGGCAAAAAACGAGGAAGATTGGCAGATGTTAGCTCAGGACCGATCTTCCTCACAAAAAAAAAAAAAAGAGTCATGCTCTTTCTGGTAAATGTGCAAAATAGGAAAAAAGTGTGCAAAAGCAGAAAAATCTTAATCCCAAATTCTACAGTTCAGAGGCATCCTAATAACATTTTGATGTATTTCCTTCCAGATATCTTCCTTTGCATTTTTTACAAAGTTGAGATGTTATTGCATAAATAATATTATATCCTTTGTTTAAAAATAATAACTATCTTCTTATAACATTAAATATTTTTATAAACATAATTTTTAATGGTAGCATAATATTCCATTTAATATAAGTACCATAATTCATCCTACTATTGGACTTAAAGCTGCCAGTCTTCTCACTGTGTCCTCACATGGCATAAGGGGACAGGAAACTCTCTGGGGTCTCTGTTATAAGGGCACTAACCCCGTTCCTGAGGGCTCTGCCCTCATGACTTAATCACCTCCCAAAGCCCCTAACTCCAAATACATTGGGGATTATATTTCAACATTTGAAACTTAGGGGGACACAAACATTCAGGCTATAGCAATTCCCAAAAGGAATTGTGTCAAATTACTTGGAATTACTGGGTCAAAAAGTAGGAACCGTTTTAAGTGTCTTGATTTGTATCATCAATTGGCCTTCCAGAAAACTTGTGCCACCTTGATTGCCTTTAGCCTGAATAGCAAAGCCAATCCTTTGCTGGTTCTGGTTTGGTTAGGAGTGATAAATGCTGTAAGAGTTTAAAGATGAAAGAGTTTAACGACGAATGCTCAAGAAAGGCTCTGGGGTCAGGTGGACCTTGAACTGAGCTTGAAGGATCCATAAGTTTCAAATAAACTGAGAGGAAAGACTTCCATCAGAAGCACAGCAGAAGCAGAGGTACCGTGGAAACCATGAATACGGCATATTGTGGAGACAGTCATAATCTAATTTTCCTAGGGTGGATAGTTACTGCATGGGAATAGTGGGATATCATCTGAGAAAAGGAATATCCACTGAGACTGAACTTAATCTTGCAGGTAATGAGGAGCTGTTGACAGCTTTTGAGCAGGGGAAAACAGCTTTTTCTTTTGTTCAGGCTCTTTCAGCAAAGTTTTAATGATTGTAGAAGACTATCTGGGAAACCAAAAACATCTGTAATAGTGGCAGAAGATTTTAAAAAATGATCATGTATTAAAAATTACACATCATATAAACGTGCTAGGAATGATTTGCTGTAGTACTTAGGATACGATGGTGGTATGACTTGTCATGCCATAAATGACCTGTCTGCCATGTCTGGGTGGCTGAGGCTTGAGATTCAAGCACTATGGCTCGGGGACTACAGTGGCTGGGTCCAAAATGGTCAGAAGCTAGTTCACATGGAGGAAATCTCAGTTTTCAGGAAATATAGGTCATGTATATGTTGCAAATTCTGGTTTCCAGTGTGAATAAGTAAAATGTGGTTGTTGCTGTTACATCATTATATTTTCTCCCTTTTTAAAAGATAAACCAGATATTTTCAATCAATGCAAAACAATGACAGATATTTCAGGCATTCTTCAATTAGCTGGCCAAAGTATATTTTATATTAAATAAAATGTCTTATAAGACATGTACACTTTTAAAATCCATCTGTATCTCACCATTCCTCCCATAGCACAGTGCTTATGTTGTGGAAAAATAAGACTCAGACTCAAGTTTTAGAGTTTATTAAGGTTGGTTGCAAAACGGAATGAGGGGGCCCACACAAAATTGGTAGGGCCACCAAGAGATAGTTATTTTTCTTGAGATACATTGTCACAAGGCACGTTAATCGTGGCAAAATGTTACAACCATGCATAATATTTGATGGCATTAACTTAGGATAACTACCAAAAAGAGCATCCATGAAAAGTACAGCTGACATATTTTTGAAAAATATGATGCTGTTTACTCAGGAAGGAGTAAAACATGAGGGTGTGCCAGCTTGCTGGGGCTTGACTTTTCCTTAACTGGGTCTTTGTGACATATAGCTCTATTATGGGCAGGGCCTGCTTCCTGGATGTGTAACCTGCAAAGTCACACATGGCTTAGGAGGGTCTGATGCTTGGTTTGATGTTCTTCTGTCACCATCTTAAAATTCCTAAGAAATTTTGAACAAGGAGCTATGCATTTTCATTTTACACTGGACCCTCACAACTTATATAGCTGATCCTGCTTATGAAAGTTGATTTTACCTTCCTTTACCATATATTATGGGCTAAAACATGGTTTTCACAGGACCAAACTATGGACCAGGTCAGGGGCGAGAGCTGCAGTGAGCCAAAGGAGCTTCTGGCCACCTCCTTTCACTGAGTAGGAAAGGGAAGGAGAGAGCAGAGGTTAGGAGCAGGCGAGGCTGCTGACAGCTGGAGTTGCTCCATTAAGACCAGCGGCAGCTGCTGCTGCTCCCACTACGCCCCCCAGCACATCAAGCTAATATCTGCCAGGCTCTGGCTAAGTGCTTCACGTGCATTATTTCCTTTAACTTAATCCTCTCAGCAACCTGCAAAATGAGTATTATCCCCCCACCAAGAGTATTATTTTTATGGATGAAGAATCTGAAGTTTGCAGTAGTGAAGCTGCCCACAATTACAGAGCTAGTAATGGTCTTTTCCGATTCACTGTCCTTTCTCCTCACTTAGGAAGTGGCCAACCATCATTGTCTGTTGTTAAAATTGAACTTGAATCACTTATTTGCTTACTTAAAAAGACTCATTAGCAGGGAGAGGGCCATAGACTAATGTTTACATAGATTGTTTATTTTCTGTTTTTACTTTCATATAGAAAGTATTGTTATTTAGGAACTTTTGGATATAAATTTCTTCCTTTTTCTCCACCGGATGCTATCTGTACAATATACTAATACTGGAAATCTTTTTTCCGAGAAGAAATAGGTACACTCTCCTTATTTTCTCAGAAAACTGGGTCAATAAACAGTGCTGTATATTTTTTAAACCTCAGCCAAAATTATATTTTTTTCTTGGTTATTTCTGTTATTCTTGTTTTCCTAGTTATGTGTGATTGTGTTCTGCTATAATTTAAAAAGATTATCCATGTTTTCTGTTTTAATTTTGCATTAAAATAAGATTTTTCAAAAATTTGTAAATAAATTCTATTCTGGACTAACCCCAATTACATTTCCTGCAGGAAAGCATCTCTGGCAGCTGATGCATCCAGGCTTGGATATAGTTCCTCATCCAATCACAAGTACATTCCCCGGAGGGCAGTGCTGTATGTACCTGGAAATGATGAAAAGAAAATAAAGAAGATACCGTCCCTAAATGTAGATTGTGCGGTGCTCGACTGTGAGGATGGTGTGGCTGTGAACAAAAAGGTAATGGCATGATTTTTCTTTAGGATGGAAAAAGAAATGTATTGAAATTTGGTGCTTTCCTGGTAGCATTGCTCAGTATTTGGAAAGATTCTACCGTGCTCACCTTTTGCTGATTACTAACACATTCTTGACCCAGCCCTAGTATGGGTTCTGCATGTGTGTGTCTCTCTTCTCCAAGAGAAAGGCAGAATCCAGGCAAAATATATTTAAAATCATGACCTTCAGTATATGTGACCATGTGTGATTCTAGATAAAGAGGTAGACGCTCAATCCGTTTTGGCCAGGATATTTGCTAGTTTTGGGTAAATGACTTAATCCTAGAATTGTGGTGTAAATTTTTCAGACCAATAAGATGCACTTGGGAATTTCTTTCTTTCTGTACTGACAGGTATATTGAGTAGTTGCCTTATCTCTTTTGGCACAAGTGCCAAGAAAATAAAAGATAGTCTTTTCTGGATAAGTCACCCTTTTCCCCACTTAATTAAAGGGAAACTACACACAGAACCTCAGGGTTGCAGCCTTGGCTGATTTCCTCATGGCCTGACCAAAGAAATGGGCCTTGGAAAATAGCCAATCTGTAAACAGGTACAAAAAGTTCTTACTGGGTGGTGGCATAGTGGGTGCTTTTTGTTTCATTTTGGGTTGCTTGACTTTTGTTTTCCAGGTTTTTATAATGACGTAGATTTGTTCAACAGTTAAGTAAAATATGTAAATCATTGTAACAATAACTTATGTTTGCCTGGGACTGTTTAGTTAAAAACCTGCTTTCACTCGACCTTTATCTATCCAGTCCCTAGATGACCATGAGGTTGGGCTGGGAATGGTTTGTGGGGCTATGGGACAGAGGGAGCTAGCCCTCTGGATTTATGCCTATCCGGATAGTTTCTTGTCCTAGGTGATCTGAAATAGCATGGCTGTACTATATAACTTTCTTGATTAATTGCTTTCTTTGGAGATTCTAGCAAACAAATATTTGCCTTAATTAAAAAAGAAGGTTAATTTCTAGCATCTTCCTTATGGTCAAATCAAGGCTTTCAAGTATTTGGAAAAGGATTAGAATAAGCATGTGGAATCTAAAGCATCTACTCAACATCTTTGGCATGCACCAAGGAAGATACAATTAATCTTCTGTCTCCCAGAGATTAAGGTTAAATAGGCCTTTTCTTGAAGGATGTAATGTGATTCTGGTATGCTTCCTTCTAAAAATCATGTAGTGTACTCTGAGATTAGATACTAAATTGTAATTCCAGTTCTGTGTGACCCAGGGCAATTCACTGTACTTCTTTGCCTCAATTTCTTATCTATACCATGGGATGACAAAATCTTCTTTTGTCAGGGACAGGGTTATTATAAGGAAAAAGTTTGATAAAATGCCTGAGAGTAGCTTGATTTCCTATAGGAAATAGGTTAGATAAATCTTGTAGTAATCATGATTAGAGGGAAATTTATTTTAGCATGTAACACAGTGAGCCATTAGGTGCCCTGATAAACTTCTAATTATATTTCTTCACAAATCTTGAGGCTATCCGCCCCCCACCCACTGAGGATGTTTCCTGCCACCCAGATGAGTTGGAAATATGGTCCATTCCTGCCTCACGTTTCTTTACTGTTCATCTGTGTTCTGAAGTCCATCCTTATACCCAGAGCCACTACTTAGGAGGAGCCTAAGGAAGGAAAGGAGAGAGAAGAGGTCACAATGGGCAAGCTGTGTCTGTCATCTTGGGGTCTATGTCCAGCCAGTATCTTCATCAGGACACTCCAGTTCTCTTAATGCAGCTAAACTTTGCATTACGTGGTAGACACACTGTTTTATGAGCTTGGAGCTTGGAGCCAACTAAATTTCCCTTTCTTATCCACAGAAAGTTCTGGCAAGCCAGGCTAGTACTTGTAAAAAAAAATTTTTTTTTTTCCTTAAAATCTCTATCCAGGACTTAATTTCATCTCATATCTTTCATTTCATAGGCCTACCCTGTCAAAGTATTTTTGGATTTTGATTTCATCATCCAACATTTATACCATCTGAGAATTTGACCAGCACACCATATGATAATTTAACAAGTTTCTTTTTTTTGTGTGTGAGGAAGATCGGCCCTGAGCTAACATCTGCCAATCCTCCTCTTTTTGCTGAAGAAGACTGGCCCTGGGCTAACATCCATGCCCATCTTCTTCCACTTTATATGGGATGCCGCCACAGCATGGCTTGTGAAGCAGTGCGTCGGTGCGCACCCGGGATCCGAACCAGCATACCCCCGGCCACCGCAGCGGAGCGTTCGCACTTAACCGCTTGCGCCACCAGGCCAGCCTCTAACAAGTTTCTGATGGAAATGTTGAAGAAGTCAGAGCCAAGTGCTGCACAAGCATGCCACTAGAAACTTCTGTTCAAGTTTATTTAACAAACATTTATATAGTGCTGACTAAATGCCAGGCACTGTTATAAGGGTTTTAGTTTGCATAACAACCTAGTGAGGTACTATTATTATAGTCCTTCTACACAAAAGGAAATTGAGGCATGGAGAGGTCAAGTTCATGAATCAATACTGCAAATATGGTTATCCAGTCACCTAACTCCTAAAATCCAATCTTTTCACAAGGATATTGTAAGAGATTTTTATCTAATGCCATTTCAAAATGAAGATACCTTCCCGATATACCTGTCTAGAAATACCTTCTCCCCCTGCACCTCTACCTCACCAGAAAAATGATGTTACATACATGAGACTTGATGAACCCATGTCAGTACCTAGTTGTTACCACCTTCTTTTTGAAGTGCTGGAGATACAAAAAATGGTAATAGCTACCATTTACGGAGAGTTTTCTATGTAACAGATGCTATATTAAATGTTTTACATATATTATCTCATTTAATCACAGCAAAGTTTTGAAATATGTCCAAGGTCACAATGCCATTTAATGGCAGAACCAAGGAGATTTGAGTCTCCTAGAATTTTTGCCAGGAACTAGCCTCTAGTTCACTTGTGAACATATTCCATAATTCATCTTTTTCCTCTTTCTTGGAAAGTTAGTGCCTTGGCTTCTTTTTATCTTTTGTCATCTTTCTACTCCATGGTTTCTCAAAGATTACTGACAGGAGCTCCATGTTCACATCTGTAGTGTCCTGGGACTATAACCCATTTAGAGCTAAGGACTTCAATTCATTTGAAATGTCCAGATGAAATTTCTTATATTCTTTTTTCTTTCTTGAAGTCACCTCTTAATCATGTTTCTTATTTGAATATTATTCCTTTTAATTAAGGAGACAGAGACCATTTTTAGTGAGTTTATTTCTTACTAAGAAGAAATCCATGGGCCGGCCCCGTGGCTTAGCGGTTAAGTGCGCGCGCTCCGCTGCTGGCGGCCCGGGTTCGGATCCCGGGCGTGCACCGACGCACCGCTTCTCCGGCCATGCTGATGCCGCGTCCCACATACAGCAACTAGAAGGATGTGCAGCTACGACATACAACTATCTAC